GATTAAGTTTCCAACATGTGAGCTTCGGGGAAAACATTCAATCATAGCACCATGGGCAGCACCTGTGGCTCAGGGGGTAGAGCACCAGTCCCATATACTGAGGGTGGCGGGTTCGAACCTGGCCCTGGCCAGCTAAAACAGCAATGACAACTGCAGCAACAACAACAACAATGAAAAATAAAAACAAAAACAAATCATAGCACCATCTGTTTGCTTCTATTTGCTCTGTGAATTTGGAGGCAAAGCCATCTGTAGAAAGTGAGGTTGGCAGGGAGTGCTGGAGGTCTGAGAAAAGTGGAGAAAGTCTGAAGTCATCATTGCTGATAGAGGAAAAGTGCTGAGGGAACCTGCACGTGGCCTTAAGGCCACATGTGGCTTTCTGGATCCTTGTATGAAGCTTTTTGACTGAATCTAAATTTTACAGAACAAATTCCTTCCCCCTAAAGGGATCTTTTTTCTGTGAAGTTTGGAATTGGTTGAGGGGCCACACCTTAGAATCTGGAGGGCCACATGTGGCCTTGAGGCTGCAGGTTCCCCACCCCTGGCTGGGCAGTGTGAGGGTCCAGTTGAAGTAGTAGGCTGTGAATATACAGTGATAGTTTTCTGCTGGTTGTCCAATTTCTGTGATAATATCCAGCAGCCTAAGCCTAGCAATAGAAAATAGAGATGATGAATATCCGAATTTGTTCCTGGATTGTGCATGTCTATGTGGGTGTAACCAAAGATAAAGGGGCAAAAATCTTACAGTGTTGGCAAAAGAGAGATTAATGAATGGAGAAGGAGGGAAGGGGAAGTGGTGAGTGAGGCAAGCTCCAAGGAGATAAAAGGAGTAGTTGGGAATGGATAGACTTAGGGGACAATTGTGTAAATGTTTCCATTAACATGATAACGTCCTTACACTACAAATGTCAGATGGCCTGAGAAATGGAAAGATTTACTATGTCATCATGAGAAGTGACTGCTACATGTCAAATAGTCAGGTTTGAATCTTCCAATGGAAAGACTTACTATGTTAAGATCCGGGCCGGAAGTGATTGCTGCCTGTCAAACAGGTTTGAGTCTTCATTCTGCTGCTTGTTAGCTATATGGCAATGTCTGCACCCATCAGAGGAACAATCATCCTAGGGCCTATGTCAGGGCTGGTTGTGATGATTAACTAAGATGCTCTAAAAAGCACTTAGCGCAGTGCCTGGCACTTGCCAAGAATTCAATAAATGTTAATTATTGATGTTGTGTCTGATGTTCTTACAGATTGAGTATCCTTTATCCAAAATGCATGGGACAAGATGTGTTTCAGGTTTTGGAGGGTTTTTTTTTTTTTCAGCTTTTGGAATACTTGCATGATAATTACTGTTTGAGTATCTGAATCTTGAAATGCTCCAAGGAATATTTCCTTTGAATATCACATCAGTGCTCAAAAAGTTTTGGATTCTGGAGCATTTTGGATTTGTGGTTTTTCATTATGGATAGGGATCCGTATCCCTATCTCCAGTACTCCAGTACTCCAGTACTCCAAGTCTCTTGGATCTAACAACAGTCCTAGGCCTCACCTGCAACTCCTTTGTATACATCCAGTTGATCCTGAGTAACTCTAACTGCTCTCTGAACGTGAATGAATTCTGGGGGAATCTCATGGACCTTGTAGTTAACAGTTAACTGTAGACATGGCTTCAAATCCTTGTGACCATCATGGCTCTAGTCTGTGAAATATTGAATTACAGATTTTTTTCTATAAATAAGATTACTAGCATAAAACTGAATTTAACATTTTAAACTTTTAAATGTAATTTATTTATTTCTTTTTCTTTTTCTTTTATTAAATCATAACTGTGTACATTGATCCATTTATGGGGTTCAGTGTACTGATTTGATATACAATGTGAAATGCTTATATTGAACTAAGTAACACAGCCATCACAATTATACCCTTTTCTTAATAGTTTTGACACGTACCATTGCATCATGCACATTTGGTGAGGTCCCCCCAAATAGCCTCCCTCCTCAAATGTAATTTAATATACTAATAAAAGAGAAGCTGGAAAAAATACGATTTACTCATATTATTACTCAAATGTTTACAATTGCCTATAAGGGAGTACACTGGTTTAAAAAGTAAACATTTATTTATTTTTATTTTTAGAACCCAACCACAATATGATAAACAGTAAATACTTAGTTTAACCATGTCTAAGAAAATTAAGGCATTGAATAAGACTTAGTTCCTTCTAAAAGTGTTCCCAACTAGCTAGGTATGATGAGAAATAGACCTTAAATATAATATGATAAATCAAGTCATAAATAAGTGACAAGAGTGATATGAATTTGGAGAGAAAATGATTATTCTGCTTGGGAGAGACAGAGAAATGAACCTCTGTCCTTGTATCTGTTTACTTTAAGCCTATTCAGGTATCACCTCTGTGGAGCCTTCTCTGGGCTTGGGCAGAGTGGTGTGAATGGACAGGGAGGATCTGATCCAAGGAATGCTCCTGATTTAGAGACTAACAGGAATGGGGGAGTCAATGAAGGGGAAGAATGCTGAATGTCTCAGAGGATTCTGCCTTGAATGAAGACGACTGAGTAAAGGACAGGGAGGAAGGATTAAGTAAAGGACAGGGAGAAAGGATTCTCCCAGCCAGGGGGCAGATAAAGGCAGTGCATCCTTCTGAGGCCGGTTATGAATTGTTGTGTACCTAAGAGATAATCAGACATGAACGCACGGTGATGCCGTACAACATGGAAGGCTCAGCACCACCCGGAGAGTCCTCTTGCTTTCCTGGCTGATTAAACCTTACCGTAATCAAGCTTTGACTTTAATTTCCAGTCTACAGGAAATGTGTGGGATAGAGAATCAAGTTAAAATCAAAACAAATCTTGAATGTGGGATATTCTATAAGACAAACGATCTGTTCTAGGAGAAAAGGACTTCAAAGAGATTTTAAGAGAGATGAACAAATTTGATGAGTGAAACTTGTTCAGATTCTATTTCAATAAGTCAACTGTATACTTTTTAAAGACAGTTACAGAAATTTGAATTGAATATTCAATTATAGATGGTCCCAAACTTAAGATAATTGGAGTGAAGATTTTTTGATTTTAAGATAGTGCAAAATCAATACACAGTCAGCAGAAACCATACTTTGGGCCATATAACCATTCTGCTTTTCACTTTCATACATATTCAGTAAATTACATGAGATAGCCAATACTTTATTATAAAATAGGCTTTGTGTTAGAAGAGTTTGCCTACCTATCGGCTAATATAAGTGTTATGAGCATGTTGTAGGTAGGCCAGGCTAAGCTGTTATGTTCAGTAGGTTAGATGTATTAAATGTATTTTTAAATTAACAGTATCTTCAGTGTACGATGGGTTTATCCAGATGTTGCCTCCTTGTAAGTCTAGGAGCATTTGTTTATTAAAAAGTGATTATAAATTTTATTGCAGCTGATGAGGGCATTATGTTGTGTGAGAAATGTCCACCTTTTTTCTTTTGACATGCACATTGAAGTAGTTAGGGGTGAAATGACATAATGGCTTGACTTTGCTTTAAATGCCAGTTAAAAAAATGTGGAGAGCAATAAATTAAACAAATATGGCATTATTATATGGATGATTGTGAAAATTGATTGGTAGGTTTATGGGGGCTCATTGTACTCTATTTTTAAAGTATGGGAATTTCTTATTAAAACATTAAAAATAAATTGTATCCATGTTTGCTTCGGCAGCACATATACTAAAATTGGAATAATACAGAGAAGATTAACATGGGCCTTGTGCGAGAATGACACTCAAATTTGTGAAGCATTCCATATTTTTTCACACCCACGTAGGAGTAAAACTCAATTCAATTCAAGACGGGGGGAGGAGGAACAAGGGAGGAGAAGAAAAGAGGGAGGATTAGGTGCTCTCACTTAATGGCACAATGTAGGGGTGTATGGGACACCTTTGGGGTACAGGACACAACTACAAGAGGGACTCTACCTAACAAATTCAAATATGTGACCTGGTTG